TACAAATTGAGAAGGTTCTTTGAAGATCAAACATGAAATTAACTCAAAACTCCATGTGAGTACTCCTCTTGCAGCTCATTTTAAGGTTATCCATATCATGCACATATTCTGACCCTACAGTCTTAATGAAGAGAGAAGCAGCGAGATTGTCACAATGTTAGCCCTAATTCCTATGTGCAGTTGAGATAAGGTCCCTTATGGTATGCTTATGCGATATGCACTAGAATCGCTGATCTTCCACAGGCAGTTAGTGTTGTGGAGCAGGTTATTGATGAGTAATCCAAGGTAAAATAACATGGGAAGAGAGTTAAAGTGGATATTGTCGCTACTTTGAAAGTAATAGCTGGAACACTGTGATTGGTGTTTTCTTGGTATTAGGATAACAAGGTGGAAGGGGTACACCTGAATAATTAGTGTTGGATATGTTGAAACTCTGATTATGCAGGTTGATCTTGATAAGGAGAAGGTCTTTGTCAGGTTATGTAATTCTACTTTTATGCAGATTCTTGCCATTAGCTGGAAAGCTACTCGCCGTTCCCATAGTGGACTGTCGAACTTAGCGGAGGCAGATATATTGCAGATCACGGGAAGGATTCAAAGAAGCAATCTGGTTAAGAGCTTTGGTTACCTGATCTTGGTTTAACCCAGATGTTGTTACTGTATTTTGTGATAGTCAAAGTGCTATTCATTTAACTAAAAAATCAATGTATCAATGAAAGAACCAAGCCACATTGATTGGTGAAGCAGTATTTTTATTCGGGATTGTTGTGGCAGATGTGGAAGATTAGCCGTGAAGAAAATTGCTCACACACTCATATAATCTCTAAGCGGATATGCTCACGAAACCTAGTTCCAAATGCTCCAAGTTTCAAGCAATTGTTGGACTTTGATGCGGTGTTACACTTGCAAGTCTATAAAGCGCCACTTTTGGGGCTATGGCGAGAATAGGAATATTGCACATACAGTTTGTATAAGGGAATCATCTTGATGAAATTATAAGTCAAGGTGGAGATTGTCTTAAAATTAGCCTTATAGATTCTAAGATATCACACTAGTAGTCCTTGGTGCTAGGAAACATGTTATTCTTCATGACTTATGACTAGTCTTTTTGGTGCTTCAATGTTTTCACACACTCAGTCTGTTTGTGCGTATAAGAAAATTCAATGTTGGTTGGTGAATGCGTTGGTCGAGCCTACTTGGACTAGGCACTTGGCACATTTGTAACAACTGTGAAGAAGACTTGAAATTTATTCTCACATGGAGAGGTGATTAACGAACCTCTATTAATAAAGGAAAATCCTTGCTTGGACGCACATTTTATGAAGAGTCAACCAAGTTGATAAATGCATTCCAAGAGAAGATAATCCTCCAAGAGACTATTTTCTCTAAACTATCCACTCTGCTCATTATACATATTTATTTCATTTATACATCACTCCACACATATTCATTGAGTGTTATGTGAGGTGTCTTGAGTGTATTTTGGTGGGTGTGAGTGTTAATCTTTCAACTTGTATCTCCATATTTTTCATATGTTGCATTTACTTTCGTCTACATGCCCCGTGGTTTTTCCCTCTACAATTTGGAGGGGTTTCCCCAAGTAAAGGTCTTGTGTCTCTTCCATTTAATTATTTTTACTTCATCATTTTAGTCATTCAAATTATCGAGAACTTATAAATAATTAGTATGCCAATTAACCACGCTAAATTAGACTTTGTCCGCAACACATTAAGAGACAACATGCACTATGTTTTGTGTACATTGTACTTAATAATACTATGTATTCGTATACTGTTGGCGAAGTACTGCGGAAACGGTGGGGGGAAAATGCCTGTTGAAAGAGGGCGTATAAAGTGGTATTCTTGGATTCACTGGTGGCTTTAGAAAGAGACAATTACGACCATAAAGTTCTTGGGGAATAAGACATGGCTTATTGGTGTAGTTGTTTTTTTTGTTACAATATTCATTAATAAGAGGATTGGCTATTACTTCATATCATTTATATCATGTTCTAAATCTCCTGAAATTTTTGTCAAGGTCGCTGCGTAGATAGAATATGCTTACAGGTGTATAATGAATATGGATGGATGCAACCCTATGCCACCATGAATTTTGGGATTTTTCCCCCGAACTGATATCCCATGCAATCCAGGCTTTCCATTTCTAATTTCAAGACTGGTGAAAGTCTTAAGGTCATAACAAAATATTTTGTTTGCCACTATTTAGGTATTTGTTAGGAAAAATTCCAGCATCAATTCTAATGTCTTCCTAAATTGGTTGGCTAGGTATTTTTCCTTTTCACTTCTAAACCTCATAGATGTAATAAGAGAGTTACGACAGATTTTGTACTACTTTTGACTTATCATGGTTGTATTAGCTAATAAGCACATTATAATGTTTATACATAACTTCTGTATTTCCATACTCTGACGAGGCAAGAGAATGATGAGCTTACTGTCGAATCACTTATCTCAGTTATGTGCTATGTCGTGAGCTTGTATGGAAAGCAATTTTTGTTTGTGTTCCAATAACTTCTCTCATTGTTACCAAATTAGGGGGAGGAAATATAACCTAACGACCTTAACGACAAACTCAATTTGGAAAGAGTGTGCGTCATTTATGTTGCAAAGGATAAACTCATCAATTCATTTCCTCTTCAAGTTGATTTTTACTAGCGCTTTTATTCTTGTTTGGGGGAAGTTTGATTCGTTTTTTCAGAAACATTTTATAATTAGAAAGTATCATGATTGGAACATTTAGGAGGAGCAAATTATTTGATCCGCATCAATTGAAATGCAAAGAATTGTGTGTGAGATGCTATGTTATTACACATGCAGCCTCTTTTAACGGCTGTTGCCTTAAACATAATTCGAGAAAAGGTCTCTGAAACAAACAATGGGATCACATTCATTATGAAGAATGGAGAAATAGTCAGATACTATGTAAATTGGATGTGTGGGGAAATAGGGTCACAGCAGAGAAAAAAGGGAGTATAAGAAGAATAAATATTTGTCAACTTAATTTTCAGACCGCTGTATATTTACACTTGTGCTCCTATTCAACGCTATATACCCGCTAATATGGCATGCTTGCTGGGGTGCAATGACCCCAATGGGGATGCCTTTTATAAGAAAAGCATCTTGCACTAAGGGTATTTGCGCAGATTAGAGTTTGGGTTTGCAGAACATGGAATGAAAGAGATAACAAGTAGTTTTTACACATTAAAATATATATATAATGTACTTTATTTTTATAAAACGAAGTAAAAATGACTTTTTATCTTTGTACTCGCATTAGAGCACATTGAATAAATAAGTGCTAATAAAAACATAACAGAGAGAAGTAAGAGATGCTCACGTGTTATTCGACGCACGAGTTTTTAGGCAGTATCAGATATTGGAATGCAAGTCTTTATAGACTAAAGCTTAGATCGTTAGAGACCTGTGTAGAATGAAATAGGGGACCCGACAACTTAAAAATAGAAGGGACACAAAACAAACGATATCCATAAATTACAAATGAAGTGTGCCTGCTTGTTCCGCTTCCTCCGGGGGGACGGTGTGTTGAGAGGAGAGAGTTCTCAGTGTCTAGTAGGATGATGCAGATGAGTCGGAGGACCGCTGTTTTCCGTGTAGGCTATCTCTATATGAGAGGAGAGTGTGTGAGAGATGAGTCCTCTCCGTGATGTGCGATGAGGTGTGGAGTTGATGAGTCGCGCTTTGTTGGTGTAGTTGCGGAGAGCGCGTAGTGTGAGAGAGTGAGAGAGTGGAGAGCGATCCCGGCACTTGAGATTTTCAAAAATAATGTATCGTCATATCTCATTCCTATAGCAGGGAGCATGGGCTTTCTCTGAATAAAATCAATGGACACAATGTTTCTGATTGCAAGCACAGTGAAAAGTTTAAAAGTAATTATATAATTCGCCTAAGACAGCGTTATCTTAATAATTGAAAAATTAAGAGATTTTGCTTTTTTCGTTTTCATTATAAAAAATAATTATGTGCTCCGCAGTGTTGCACTCTTTTCAATGATGCCTCCCTGAAATTAGTTGGTAGAGAAAATGGTAACCATTGCTGAGAAGTTGTAATGAACTTCTACAAATTGCTATTAACTTTCCTACTTCAGGTGGAATATTTAATTATTCTTAACCATTGATTATTTTGATGTTACAAAATCATTAGTTTTCATAATTTTAACAAATTATGGTTTGCCAATAATGTGATTAAATTATTTAGAGTTATAAAATGGAAGTTTTCCTAAGCTTGGGAACCAGCAGGAAAGCAGTATCATGGTTGGAGTAAAATTAATTGTTACAATATGGCAAATACTAATGTAATATATTTAGAATATTGATAATTTCACAGTGTTTTTGGCTTCAAAAATATTTCTCTTTTCATAAATATTCACGT